CCTCCTATGGTTCCTCCTTGTAACGTCAATACCTTGCGAACAACAAGTTCGATGGTGTTTGTAAATAGCATGGTGGAAGCCTGAAATCATTGCGCTCTCAAAGCAACACTGCCAACACCGTCGAAATTAAAGTTCTTTCATTCCTCTTATTTCCGTCGATGGCATACCCTTTCCGACGTCATAGTCAGCTTTTGGGCCAATCGTGGAAGGCCGACCACAGCGACGCTTTCGGTCGCGCACGTCGCCAATAGTGATAAGAAGGGTCGCAAATTTTAATTGTCAGTGATATAAATCACGTAAGTCTTGCTTTAAATCGAACGAATCTGGTTTAAACCAAAGAAATCTGATTTCTTTTTTTTTTCTAACTACTGATTTTCTTTTTCATCTTAACCACAAATAACATTTATTTAAATAAGATATGAATGCTGCTAAGAACACGAACAAATGAGGGGAAAAATTTCCAACAATTTTACTTTCAAACGGGTGAAGAAAATGGCTCAATTCTACATGAGGGTTATATTGAGCTAGGAAGCTCTGCCTCGTATGCACCGTGACAAAAAGAAATAAAAAAAGAACTCTTGAAAATGGGTATGCTCAGAGCTGCATCCGACTTTATACATCCTAAAACCGAAGCAACTGAGAAAAATAATACTTCAGCCGAACACAATGTACACGAAAAACAACAATAAAGATGATTATATGGAAGCATTTAGAGAAATAATACAGTTAGTTACTCAGCACACAATAGTATGGCACAATTACAAAAGTATAAATGGCTAAAAGTACTGAAAGTTACAGATTCTCCTGATGAAAAAAAAAAAAAAGACTTTCAACCTTTCCACTCTGGTGAAGAAGGAAGATTAGCGAAGCTGTACTATGGTGAGACGACCTCAAGGACGACTTCTTGAACGACCTCAAGGACGACGCCTAGAGGGCGACGCCTAGGACGACCTCGAGGACGACGCCTAGAGGATGACGCCTAGAGGACGACGCCTAGAACGACCTCGAGGACGACGAAAATTTTGTCCCTACGGTGTTCGCGTAGAAAGCACCAGCAAAGCGCTCGTCGGTGGCTAGCTGCGCCCGTGCTACCAAACGGTAGGAGATCGGCAGCAGAGCGGACGAAGCGTTCCCTTTTTTCGTGCCTTATGGTCATGTAGGTAAAAAAAATATCCTGCCTTGACGGAAGGGCGCTGTGTGTATATAATCAATTAATAAATAGACTTTCGCAGACCCAGTCTGCTGATCCCGCGGGCAGTGCGGAAACCGACTCGAAGTAATTGTAGGCCTCGAAAGAATTGTACGCCTGCGCCATGTCGGCCGTCAACTAGCTTGGCGAAAAAAACTAAATAAACGACTAGGTGAGCCATCGACGTCGGTGGCACAAACTTCACGTCGGAACTCCAGCAGGCCTTGCTTACCGCGTACGGATCGTCGAAGGCAACGCCGTCTACGCACAGTTTGTCTCGATACCGCTGCCGTTCAGGCTCAAATAGCGAGCTCAAATAGTCGGGTATACCGTATGCGACATTCGTTGGCAAGAAACGCGACGCACAAATAAAGCTACAAGCGTCTCCCCAACGACCCCAGCAAGCGCACACCACATAACACAATGGCGAAAACAGCGAGAGCCTTGCCGCTTCTTCTGCGCATACGCGGCCTTCCGGCCGTGTTGGTTGGTAAACAGAGCCGCGCCGCGTGTCGGTCTATACGAGCAGAAACTCTGGGAAACGAGTGAATGAGAGAGCGTCAGAACACCCAGCTCCGCATAGAATAATTAGTACGCTAAGCTAGCTGATGTTCTCTCCACTGCAGCGCTGGAACGCGTTCAAACGCGAACGCCAAACGCCGGACGCCCGAGTTTGGCGTTGATACGCGTTCGAACAGTGCAGTGAAGCCAAAGGCAGCTAGATTCGCCTACTACATATTGCAAGCGGGGCTGGGTGTTCTGACGATCTCTGGTCTCCTCCTCTCCACAGTTTCTGCCATTATAGTCATTGTTAAGAAACACAGGGAGGGTCGAGTCCTCCGATGATTGCTCCGCAGCCAACGAGATTGCGACGTGCGCCGCAGAAAAAGAGTCGAAGCGTGAAGAGAGGGAGCGTTTCTTCGACGGGCTAGAGAGACTCTCACTCAATGTCCGACCGCTGTGGACGATTCAATGGAGCCAATGCGGACCGCAAGCTCGTCTGCTTCCTGCGCAGGGGATGCGATGGTGTCAGAACGCCGAGCTCGTATTGGCTGATTGAAACAAAAAAAAATAGTGAGTAGACCCCGAGGCATCAAGCATCGGGGTATACCCACTATCCGATCAAGCCAAGCCAATCCGAGCTCGGTATCGTTCTGACGTCACCGCAACTCCTGCGCAAGAAACAGACGTCTTGCACTCCGCATACTCTGCGCCAAAGGTTTCATCGGCACGGCGTGCATCGTCTTTGTGCACCGACTAATGGAATCACACAAAGGAGAATACGGCGTGATCCTGCGGTTTTTGTTGCTGCGTTGTTTATGTAGCCGGTAAAAGCGAACGCACAAAGACGATGGGCGCCGTGACGTTTCACTTCATGGTGCAGCTTGATTGTTTCGATCCTACTGTAGCCTCGGCTGCGGTCGAGCTTAGTGTTAAACGGAATATATTCGCGACACTGACTAATACTAAAGGCACTGTATCAGGCTTGGGAAAGTAGCGCCATTGCCTTTCCTGCCTGCTAGCCGGACACAAACGGATACTAACATACGGACAAGGAATCCTCGCGAGGTGATTGGCTAAATTATTACGGTGGAAATCGCCATGTCGGTTTAATCAGATCGTCAAAGCTCCGAAAGCTGACCCTAGCTTTCGGAGCCGTGTACAAAGAGAATGGACCTTTTCCACATACCGACGGCCCCAGGCGGTGGCTGCACGAACTAAAAATCGAGGAAGTAACCGACCTGCGCTACCAATTGATAATGGGAGCTACGCTACCAGTTTCTTTGCTCTCTGAGCTGCGGCGCGTGCCCAACGCGACTTTAAAGAGGGGTATCCGTGGTGTCCACCCAAACGCCGTGTTTTTCTTTCCGTCCACTTTCTTTTTTTTTTGTGTGTGTGTAACACAATTATATATATGCTGCAATTACGTGTTCTACTCACTGATCTACAGCCTCCTTCCGAATTTCCTCGATTATTCGTGCAGACTTCCGCCGCTTGTTATCGGGCGCTCGCGTTTGCGCAGAACGCTTCTCGGAAAAGGGCCATTTTGTCAATAGGAGAAGCGGGAAGAACCAGGGCGTGTACCAGATGCAGATAGAGGAGCTTGGCGTGCTCTCTTGGCCAACCAGAAGCCGAAAAATATTCCCTAGCGGTGGTAGCGAGAAACAGTTTGAATAAGATTATAAGTTCTAAATGCAGTAACTCTTCATGTTTTGATTATGATAACGCAAGAAGATGTAAAAAACGAATGTGCCGCTAGAACCCTGTTTGGCTCGGTCAGTGTGTGACCGCTCGGACGGCAGATCCGGCGCCTGGCGTACGGATTATTTCGATTGTAGCGCTAGTCGTGCTCTTCCACCATGATTTTGGATGAACGTGATTGAGACATCACGTGCACCATATTTTCAGTCAGCGAGAGTTACTCTGACGCACTTATTAATTTCGTTGCTCACGACCACCACCAGGGTGTTATTTCCGCCTTCTGGTTGGCCAAATTCGAATTTATGAAGACGCCATAGAATACGCCCGGCCCGGTTTCGGCCAATGGCGCCTCTTCATTTGCCTCCTATATTCCCCAATGAATGGCCAAACTTCTTCTCTATACGGGTCTAAGGTCGCTCTGTGCCAGTCGCGTCAAGATTGCCATGGAGCATAATCGCACTGAGAGCGTTCCTTGCCAATATAAGCGTCTTTGGCACTGTGCCTGGAATCATCTTATCAATCGCGCTTATTGGCGACGTGAGCGATCGAAAGCGTCGCTGTGGTCGGCCCATCGCAATTGGCCGAATGCTGACTACGACGTCAGCAGAGGATGTCTCATCGACGGAAATAAGAGGAATATAAGAACTGGAATTTTGACGGTGTTGGCAGTGTTGCTTTGAGAGCGCTATGATTTCCGGCTTCCACCATGCCCATTAAAAACGGCATCGAACTTGTTGTTCACAAGGTGATGGCGTCACGAAAGGTAACTGAACGAGGGCGCCACCAAAAGATCTCGCCGCTAATAGGCGGGCGGCCATAGTTGTGTTACACTGTAGTTGTCTGTTCGACTGCCGAGCGCGTGCTGACGGCGAGCTTCCACAGTTCTTCTCCAACGCGTATTTCACACCATCGAGATTGCCGGGCTTAGCAACCTATTAATATTATCCTTCTATGCATGCGCTCCAAACAGCGCATCAAATATGGTTTCCGGTGAATACCCACTATACCCACAGTTCTCTTACACCTTGTATAGTTCTAGTGAATTTTAGTGCAGGAAAATAAATTTTATTGCCGCCAAGCACCGAAGCCGCATGCGATGACCGTGCGAAGAGGTGCCCTTGTTTCGGCGTAGTGCGGATAACAAAATATCGGTAGGCGAGAACTATTTACGAAGCAGCCTCTCTCCCTGAATTCAGATCGGCTCACCGAGAATAGATAGGTCAAGCAGAAACTGCTAACTCGGTCAGCCAAAATGAGGACCCTACTTGGAGCTTGGAGTTACTTTCCCAAAGGTCCAGTGACTACCACTACCGCCGAGAAGACACGGCCGCTTCCCCAGCAGACGTCCCCGCTAGTGAATCCACGCGGCGTCGCCTAGCTCGCGTCAGCGACCGTTGTCAGCGACACCGCAAGTGCGTCTGAAAGCGTTTAACAACGAGTGCGAGGCTTGCGCAAGGAATCACCGAGACGAACACGTATGCCGCTTTTCGCCGCGTCTCGTTCAAATTCGGCGTCTTTGCCGGCTGAAACGGGTCGCGCGTCCCTTACAGATGACGTCATGCTCAGGCCTTGTCTTCCAGGTTACCTTGACACATGGGAACAGACTCACCGCCTTGGACGTGTACCAGCCTGCTCTTGACGGTGCCCAGGGGGTTGGACGCCACACAGCGGTACGTGGCCGAGTGCACATCCTGGCGGTACTGGCTCGCCAAGAACGACGACAGGACGAGCGACCCGTCGGAGCGGACCGAGCGCAGTCCGTCTACCTGCAAGAGTCCACACGAGACATTGGACTCTTTAGCACGGAGTTACCGCAGGCTCTAAGGAGTCTGGCGCGTCCGCTCTCTCCCAAAGCTCTTGAGAGAGCACTGGAACGGATGGAGGAAGCTCGGCTAAGCACGGGGCGGAAAATAGATTTAAAAAGTCTACGCTTCGGCACTGAGCTTGACGTTTGGCCATGCTCAGCGTCACATCGCAGAGAGTTCTTTGTTTAGCTTTAAAACTATGATAGTCCCCGTCATTTACCGAGTTCGCTTCGTAGATTGTAGCGGTCACCAAAGTGCTTTGCGGGAAAGCAGACGCGCCAGATTTCTTGGGCGTACTTCACGCGACACCTTGGCGGTGCTTGTGTTCTAGATAGAAGGAATCCAGCGCTTCACTTCTCCAGAAATGCGTTGAAGGCGATACATACTCGCGCGCGCTTTGTTTCTTTCAGTAAACGATGCTAAGCTGTTTCAAAACCGTCCCCACCTTCCAAAGTCTGTGCGAAATTTGAGTGAGCTTGCTTGTTGTTTCTTTTTTTTTTTCGCATATATACTAGTTTAAAAAGATGTGGGCTTGATCGTTAGGTTTTAAAAGCTGCTTTCCTTGCAAAAGCACTCGTGAAAATCAAGCTTTTCACTCAAAACATCGATGCAGAATTGCTGGAGAACAGATTGTGTGTTCAAAATCAGATTTTCAATAAAATATTTAAAAAAAACAATAAAAACAACCTAATCTCGTTGTTGTTATTTTTCTTTTAATCTTGAAAACCTAGGATAAATATTAGTGAAAATCAAGGAACTTACAGCGCCAAATATGTATAATGTTTACGGCAAGCACGCCGCAAATATGCTTCTGTTAAGAGCATATCTGCGATTTATGTCTAAAAATTCGTAAGCATCGTTCGCATTCTTAAAAATGTTCCTCGCGTGGAACTTCGTTATTTATATTCCTAATATTATGCGTCTTTCGATTGCTCTTCTTCGAATCCTTCGAGCCCTGAGCGTTTCAGCCGCGCTACCATCGCACGTGTCTCGACGCCAACGAAAGAAGCGGAGCAGTATATTCTCAACAAGTGTGCCTCGAAGTTAGAGAGTTTCCAACTGCTCGATCGAAATCGCGTGTTTTATAGCCGAGTTTGCAATGAAAGCTACGAGGAAGTCAGGAAAGTGTCCGTTCTCTGCAAGCGTCTCCGCCTCTCTGGCCCACTTTCCTCCTCGCCCTAGAGAATACAACGCACGCGCACATGCAACCATTCTGAGCAGGACGCGTCAGCCATTCGATTGCAAGCGCACTTTCATAGCTCGAGTTGGTCCCTCTCTGACATCTGGGCTCTCTACACTGAATCAGTGAAAACGCTCACGGGTGCAGCGGGCGAGCCGTCCTTCCTCTCCCACGTGATCCTCGGGGTCGGTTGTCCCCTGGCCGAGCAAGGTAGCACGGCGCCGGATTCGCTCGAGAACTCCATCGACGTGGGGGGCTCGAGCACCAGCGCAGGCCCGAAGCCGCCACTCGCCGGAAACGAGCTGGAACCTGGGAAAAAAAAGAGCGTCCAAAAGGCGTTAACACTAGCCCACATTGTGCCGGTATGCTTCATTTCCCGGATTGTTCACAAATTTCACCAAAGCTGAGAGGAGGAACTAGAAGAAATTGACAGCTTTGTTTAGATATATTTATGAAACGGTCATATGCAGAATTGCGTTTTATGCGGAACACAGCGCACGCTGACATCCAGTCCAGGCCTCTGTGGCGCGCGCCGTCGTGTCGTTCTGTGTCGCCAGAATCTTCTATTTACCGTTTTTATAATTTTTATGAGAAAGCATTAACTGTTTTATGTAGCGAACCGACGTCATTAGCTTTTGGAGCCGTGCCACACGGCACCTTCCCCCTGTCCCCATAAAGCGAAGCCTGTCGTCTATAGCAGAAATCTGATGGGTAGGTTCCCATTCGCTGGCGCGCGTCATGGTTTCAAGGAACGAGGCTCCCATTGGCTCTCGCGCGGCGTAGTTCCAAGGAACGCCACCAGAGAAGCCCTCTCAATGGCGGCGCAGCGCACGTAGCGGCCCGGCCGCCGGTAAGAGGGAGCCCGCACGGGCAAACTCCGGAGAGGCTACACGGCCGAGCTCAGCGCGTCGCGGCCACGTCACGAGAGCGCGCGCTCGGTCGTCGGCCGCTACCTCGGCAGTAACGAGACGTGGCCGTCCACGCCAGTACACCGCAGACGAACTAAAGGAGCGGAAGAACGACATTGATGCTTTCACCTTCACAACTTATAGGCCAACTCATGTTTACAAACAAACCGAAGCGCCCCTAGCGGACGCCACCGGCTCCCCGCATGCACGACGAAGTGTGGGCAAGAAGCTCGCCGTCGCTGACGCCGCAGAATGGACGCTAAAGCCTGACTCGTATAATGAGGTTCCGCACACAATTTTCAGTCGCGACGTCGCTCGAGCTGCAAAAGCATGAATCGTAGCTGAGAGGGTCGACGTCGATACTGAAAATCGCCGGCTGAATCGGACCAAGTGAATCAGGTATAGCAAGTGGGCGACGACCACTGCTAACAATGACCAACATTTCCTTGTATTTACTGTTTACACTGAGCCTGCTTACCCCAACCAACCTTCCAGGTATTTTTAGGGCTGCACTTACTTCTTATCGCAATTACCGGGCCAACGTTTGGACTACGGGCCCGTGTGGTCAGAAAGAGCAGACGATAAGCATAAACTTTTGAAAGAGCAGACCACAGTTCGAACGATCAGGCGGCCGTTTGAACTTGAAGACGCACTGAACGTAGTTCGCAGGTGGTCCGTAAAACTTCATGGTTTCCCTGCGTTCATGTTGGAACAAAACAAATAAATCTGATGACCACAATTATCCGTGAATTCAGCCCAAAGTGCTTCCCCGCTTAAGCAATCGTGGTCCGACGGTGTCTAGTTTTCCCTTTTCAAGGCACATATCCACGTTCTCCGTTTTCAGACGAACCGAGCGCATGAAAACTGTTTCTGGACTCTTTCTGTACAGCCCCAGCCGTGGCGTTTTGACGAAAAGGCATTTTTGTTGTTGTTTTTTTGTTTTCCTTCAGAATAACGCAGAATGCACGCCCCAAATGTTACTTCCGCCCACATCCCCAGACCGGAAGTGCGCTCGACGCGCCACCACCGCGCCGTAACGTAAGAGAGTTGAGTTCGTGTATAAGCGCTTAGGTGTCTCTCAGAGTTTTTTTTTTTTTTTTCATATTTTTGTGTCGCAAGGTTTTGACAACTTCTGAATCTTTTTCGGGGTGTCTCCAGCCTCTCGTCGTCACTCCCGTGCCTCTTCCGTTTTACAGCTAAGCTGTTATGTGCTAGGATCTGGAAAAATTATGCGTCCATGGATGTTAGCAAAAACACTCCCGTCTAAACGGCACTCCTTCATTCCGATTGGTCGTGGCAAGTATAAATAAAAAGAGGAAGCAACTCGCTTGAATCAGTCTTTCTTGGCAATATTAGATAGTGAGGTCCTGATCCCTTATTATCATCTACGGTCACCGACTTACTTCAGCGCGCTGTGACGAGACTGAGGGCAGAAAGCGCCGATCTAACCTTCTTTTCTTTCGCTTCCGCGACGCTGATAAAGAGACTTGGGCTCAATCAGAAAAAACTGTCCTCGGGGTGTGCCTCGAAAAATTGGGTTTAGAACTTGCAAATAAGTGACCATAAGGTAATGATCACTTTAGTCACTAAGAACTGAATAAAGACAATTAAACCGCGAAGTCGTGTACGTGTCTTTATTGCAATCATATGTAAATCGTATAGACCTCCTATAGTTGTCGTAGAGCTGTCGTAAAGTATAAATATAACATCTTTGCTGGTCCTCCATCTTCACGTGAAGTTGATTGGCTCTAGAATCTTTTTTATTTGATTATTGTGGTGATCCCGAACGCTCTTGGCAGCTGGTCAACTGCCACTGTGGTACACCACACTCGTGATGTCGGAGTCTGAAGTGCGAGTGTTCTTCCGTGACTATGCAATGGTGCATCAAACGAACGCTTTGCTATAGGAATGCACTCCTGCAATCTGTTCACCGCTAAGCTGACATTAGAGTGGAACCTAGGTTGGTCTAGTCATACGTCTATATTTTGCCACGCGATCAATCTCCCGTTTATATTCCAAGGAAGGATAAAAAGTCAGGTGATGAAAGGGTGGCTCTTGATGGAGTCGGTAAGGGCGTAGCTACCAGCCTACTGCCAGCCTCAGAGTAAACGATGTATAGTGCTCAGGTTTTCCCCGTCGTCCGCTGCTATGTTCATCATATTAAAAGGCCCCGCTGCCACTCTGATAGCCAGTGAAGGGGTGAAATAGGAATAAATCTTTTTTTTCCTTCATTTCAACCTGCGTATATTTTTTACGTTATTTCAAAAAAGCGTGCTCCACATATAGCAGGGGAGCTGCGCGCGTTGGTTAAAACATCTTTAATGAATTTAATCTTCTCATCTAAAAACCCGTAAAGAATACCACAAATCTATCTTCCTTCTTTTTTATTTTGCTTTTTTTTATTTTTTAGGAGACCTCTTTCCAGCTACGTTCTGATATGTAGTTTCCGCTCCGACTCCTGATAGCGCGAGCCACCTGTTTTAGCCCATCTCGATGCGCACAAGATAGAGACGCGTCATTCCAAAGGACCGAAACACACACAAGATGGTGCATGCCAAGGGATTCCGAATCCCTCAACCTCGACAAGGGAGGGGCCTCAGCCGCGGTCAGTGAAGCCTGTGCCGGACTATTGAGTGACCTGCCACGCCCCCTCCACCACCTCCTCTCCTTCTCTCCGACGGAGAACCCCAGCGAAATCTTTTTCGGCGACGACAGGCTCTTTATCTTCGGCTAAGGCCCCCGAATACCTCAGAGAGTGAATGAAGCCCAGCCGACAAGCCAATAAACGAGCCAGGGGCCGGCCGGGGTTGAGCCAAGCCGAGCCACACTCTATCTAGGCTATCTTTATTCTTACGCTGGCGCCGATTCCATTGGGAGCCACTAAGATTCGTTGGCGAGTGTCCGCTCGGCGATTTATTGAAGCGTATACACGCACGAGTCAGTCGAAGAACCCGAAGCAGTCGCAAAATAAAACCTACGTCAAGTTCTTATTTATTATTTTTTTCTTTTTTACGTACGTTTGTGCCTTATTTTAGGCAGTAAATATACGTCGTAGACGTGCTGGTTTTACGCTTTTCGATTCTTTATTTGCCATCCATTCGACTTCAGCTGCGTTTCATTCTTCCCCGAGACATGTCGTGGTCGACGTCGTATAAAAAAAGAAAAAAAAAAAAAAGTGTGGCCAAAAGGAGGCGGGCAGCGGGTAATGAATAAAGGCGAGACGTCCAGTCGTGTTAAAGGGGACCAACAAAACGAAGGAAGTTGAGGGAAGCATAATGTGTCCTCATCTTTGGCGTCAACGTCGCCCGCTTCTACGAGAAAGCGATAAACTATGTCTGCCCAGATTCCGAAAGACGTCGCGGTCTTCCCTCCTTCCCGTTCTCTGATTTTCTCCTTTCCATCCTGGCGCAATAAATACGGGCGTACGTACAAGCGCGGAGCTTTTCAAAAAACAAAAAAATGACAAGAGAAAAAAAAACCTCAGCGAAGAACCGACGAAAACAATGTCGTAGATTCTGTCGGTGAAACCGGGCTGCGGAGTAAGAAAACAAAACACAACGAATGAGGAAAACGCAAAACAAATCGCTAATCCCGGTTTATGTTGCGCCTCTCCGATACTTCAGCTTCGTCTCGAGAAGAAAAAAAAAAATTACTTAGACGGCGGCCCCTCGGAGAATAACGCAAGAATTCGGGCGGAATTTCGTCCGTCTCTGTTCGGGTGGAAAGAGTCCGGCAGCGTCCGTCCCCCCAGGTCTTGACGGAACGGTTGTGGGTAGAGTTCTTCGGGTAGAGTTCTGTTCCCTCGCCATTTCGGGACGTTACGCTAGGTTTGCGAAAGGAAAAGCAGGAAGGTTTTGATTTCCTGCGGCTGAACAAACGATGCGGCCTTTCTTTTTGGTATCGGCCCCTGAAAGTGCAATGAACAAGAATGGCGAATCAGAGAATGCGAGGAACCAAATCCGCTCTCGTATAGTTTGACTGGTTCTCGAGAAAATAAACGATCTCGGGAATTCTCGTTCCCTAGATATATAAATGGTTACACGCCTATCTTTTTTTTTTTTTGCAAGTCTCGCGAGCAGTGGACGAACGAAGAGCGAATGGCTATGGGATTGTTGAGCCACCACACTCAGACGTGCGTTTATTGCACTAAGCTTGCGCAAGCGTACACTTTGTGTGGAGGTACCAGAAGTATCAGTCTCAATTCTCGGCTTGGTTTCCACGAATGGTAACATTTATTTATTTATTTATTTAGCAATATTTCCAGGCGCCTGATCGCAAGGGTGAACACTGATTGGCAGACTCTCCAAGCAAGCGAGACAAAAAAAAAAATAAACCGTAACTCCCAACAGCAACGAGGTACGGTTAAAGTACATACATTTCAACACACCTGATGATATAAATGGCAAGACCTCACTGAAATAAATTCGAATATTATGATGAATATTAT